CAGGATCGAACATTGTTTCGTTCTGCTGTGCATGGGGTCACTATGAGTCGGTTCCGACTCGATGGCACCTGACAACAACAACAAACAAGACTTACTCTTTGTGAAAACTGCCAAAGATAAGAAACAAGAAACCTGGGTTTCAATCTAGGTTAGATTTTTGATGTTATTAAATTTCATGGAGTTGGTTCCAACTCAGTTACCCTATACATTTCTGAGGAGTGGCTGATGGGTTTGAATCACTGAGTTGCAGTAAGAAATCTAGTCCTTAACCTACCTATAATACCACACTAGCACACCAGGATTCCCTAGACTAGATTACTGTTGACAAATATGAGGATACCTCAAAAGTATAGGATAAGTAAAAAAGTACTGCTACTGTGATTTTAGTTTACGCCTGCATGAGTTTATTCAAAATAAATGTGTTTGAACATGTTTCTGTGGTCAGTGGGCAACTGCAGACTAGTTCTCTCAATAAAACACTTATCTTAGTCTCGTTGTTGTTGTTAAGTACCGTCAAGTCGGTTCCGACCCATAGCAACCCTGTACAGGGTTTCCAAGTGTGTAAATCCTTATGGGAGTAGAAAGTCTCATCTTTCTCCCGCGGAGCGGTTGGTAGTTTCGATCCGCTGACCTTAAGGTTCGCAGCCCGATTCGTAACCACTACGCTACCAGAGCTCCTTAGTCTCATTGTTGTTGTTGTTGTTGTTGTTGTTGTTAAGTGCCGTTGAGTCGGTTCCGACCCATAGCGTTAGGTACCTTCAAATAAAGGTTCATTGAAAACAGTGGGCTTCTAAGGAATTTTGCTGAACCAATTACATTCTAAGTGAAGAGATCAGTTAAGATGGTTAGGGCAACTATTTTGGTGGACTCCAAAGGGGTAATTTTTTATAAGAGTTGCTTGAAGTAGACAGAACAGTCAAGGGGCTTATTAGGAAGAAGTTTTAAGAAAACTCAAACTGCATTGGTGAGAAAAAGGCCAGGAAAGTTTCACCAAGGAATTTTTTCCATCATGATAATGTACCTGGTTCATTCGTCAAGGGTAACAAGGAATGTCCTATGAGAATTTCATTGAGAAGCCTTATTATCCCATGCACCTCACAACCTTAATCCTGCCCCTTCAGACTTTTGTTTGTTCTCAGAACTCAAAGAACATTTAAAAGGAACATGGTACAAGTCCCACAAGAATGTCACAATGGCCCTTTAGATGGGAAGTAAAACTACGAGTAAAGAATTCTTTAGGGAAAGAAACACCACCCTCAGGAGAGTTTGGAGGATATACTAAGAAACAAAAGCTTCATATTCTGATGTTTTTATATAAAAAGGTTTCTATGATTTTTGTAGCAATATTTTTTGATTTGCCCTTGAATTATGAAAACAGAAAAATACTTGACTTTTTAAGAAAAGGCTAAATTATATCTGTATTTTATTTAAAAGTAACAATACAATTCTTATACAAATAATTTTGTTTGTTTTCAAATCGGAGGTTAAAACCTTCATTGTTACACATTAAGATACCCAATAGGTTTCTTTTATTTCAAAAGTTCTACCCAGTTTTATTACAGCTAGATGTTGGATATCATATTTATAAAATATCTAGATGATTAACAGAAATTTTTAATTCCATCTGGTTATTTTTCATCCTGTAACAACAAAGACACCAACATCAATTCTGTATTTTTTCCCTGAAAAAAAAAAAAATAGAGTTAAATATTACAATGATATGTTATTGTTGTTATGTGCTGTCGAGTGGGTTCCAACTCATAGCGACCCTGTATAAAGTTTCCAAGGTGTGGCTGGTAAGGTTTGAACTGCTGACTTTGCAGTTCAAACTGACCTTGCGGTCCAGAGTATTATCCTGCAACACCAGAACTATATGACTGTTTAATTGGGGTCTTAAGAACCCCTTCAATGATTTCTACAACAGAAAAAACCCTTTTGCTTGTCGCATACCTGCAATTTTGTTGCATATCGGTTGAACATTAGCGTCACACATTCATTTATAGCACCTGTTCTTTGAAGAAGTAGTAGTCCTTTAGGGGTGGCAGCAAAATTTAGTAAATCATCTAATAAATTATCTTCCCAAGCCATACTGAAACAACAATTAAAAGAAGGATCTAATTTATACAGCATATTTGAAAGAGAAAGAAAATACTTTAGCTTAATACTACTGGTAATTATACTTATAGAATACACATTGGTTGCAAATAACTCAATAAATGTTTTATTTTTATTATGTGTTATCGAGTTAGTTCTAACTCATAGCGACCCTGCATATGATTTCCAAAGAACAGCTAGTGGGTTTGAACCAGAGACCATGTAGTTAACAGTCTAATGTTTATTCTACAGCGTCAAACCAGGATTCCCACTAAATGTTTAATAAAAGGCATGATTTCTATGAAAGTAAATGATTTTATTCTTACACCTTACTGCTGTTGTTGTTAAGTGCCACTGAGTTGATTCAAACCTTTTTTGGGAGCAGAAAGTCTCATATGTCTCATGTAGGACGATTGGTAGATTCAAGCTTCTGACCTTGTGGTTAATATTCCACTAAGGTAACCACTGTTACCAGGGCTCTAACATTCTTATAGCTTATATAACAATACTTTACTTTCATTGAATGAATTATTAACTGTAATGTCAGAATTTTTATTATACTTAAGTTTTCTTATCCATGCCTAAATTTCATTCTATTTTCCTGTTATAACTCTGCTGTGTGTAGATTTCCCAAGCCCCAGATCTCTATTATTTCTATGCTTTCTTTTCATTATAAAATGTCTGTCTCCTGACTTTCTAAAACGCATCACACATATTTTATTTTACTATTTTCAAAGATTTTAAAAATTTATTTTACTTTTGGGGAATCACATCATTCCCCCCACCCCTCAGAATAGTTCTATTAGAAAGCCAACACTTTCTCCAGAGAAAAACCTTGAAATACTGAGAAGACTCATCACAATAAGCACATTAAACAAAGAAAACAAAACAGAAATAAAAAGCAAGAGTAAAGAAATCTCCAATTTGTCAGTATCCCCAAAATGTAAATAATTTATACTCACATAAGAAAAAAATAGAGACGTAGATTAGGAGATTGGATAAAAGCACAAAATATGCTACTCAGAACAGTAGAAAGTAACGGATGGGAAAAAACATATCATGTTTAACAGATAATACTGACATGCTGACTCACTTCTATTCTGTAACACCTTTTTTTAACCAACTCCCCATCTAAGTAATTAGATGACAAGTCTAATAACTTATTCACAAAAATATCTAATAAAAAGAAATTCCTTTCTTAAATAAAAAAACTAATCATAAAGAAAACAAAGCTTTTGACTTTTCAAAAGCCGTTATAAGTCCATAGGCTCACCACTCACTGTGCAACCCTGAGGCTAAAAAGCACACATTAGTGAGGATGGGAACAAAACAAAAGACTTCAAATAGCATCGATATGCCAATACTCTACTCCGAGACACTGGTCTACAAATTGAACTCTTGTTCCATGAGTAAAAGCTAAGTCAATCACCACACCTGTCTTCTGAGACACCTCGGAGTGTTTAACAGAATGGCAGATTTAAACGTGGAACAACTAGACTAGATAAAAAGTTAACAGTAAACTTTTAGAGAATTAATAATTTGTTGATCTATTATACTATTAAAGAAACGAGAAAAGGACTTTTGGTTTGAGTTTATTTTTACGTTAAACTCTATCTAAAGAAAGAGTTTCACTTAAAACATACATGTTGCTTGATTTTTGAAGGTTACAAATAAAGTATCTTGTGTTTGCTAAAGTTTCTCTAAGTTATAAATACATATAATTTATATAGTTTATAACTTTCCATATAAAATTGTTTGCTATAGTATTTGATTACAGTTGCATTTTAAACTATTTCAAAAACTAAAAACAGGAGGGTTTAATTCAATGTACTTACATGTTCTGGGATGGCTGGTTGACTGAAGCAGCAGAATCAGAACCTCCTACTGGGGTAGAAATTCTTTCTGACAACAAACTTGTCTGAAAGAAATAGGAGATTAATTTATTATTCTTGTTCTGACAGCACTGACTTGTAAGATCTCTTAAACTGCAATTTTAGTGTGTTAATGTGCCAGACTGCAAAGCCATTTGAACTGCAAGTTCGGCAGTTCAAGTTCACCAGCTGCTCATACAGGGTCGCTATGAGTCAGAACCAACTCAATGGCACCTCACAACAACAATAACAAAATAATTAAAATTAAATTGCCTTCAAAATTTAAGGCATTTGGTCATTAATTAAATATTATGAAAGTACTTAATAAATAAAGTAAGTAATATGAAAAAAAAGGTTTCGTATTGGTAATCAACTATACTGGATTATTACTACATTAAGGAGTTCTGGTAGCATAATGGTTACGAATCGGGCTGTGAACTGCAAGGTCAGTAGTTCGAAACTACCAGCTGTTCCTCGGGAGAAAGATGAGGCTTTCTGCTCCCGTAAAGATTTACAGCCTCAGAAACCCTGTACAGGGTCACTATGGGTCGGAATCGACTCGACGGCACTTAACAACAACAACAATGATAGTTAAGTATTCATTACAAAAATAAACAGTTTTGTTTAAAATTGTTTAGAAAGAACTTCCAAAGATGGATTTATTTAAAGCCTACTGGGATGGAAGTATTGACATTATTCTGTGCCAGGTTAAAAAGTATTATGTCTCTTTGGGTCTTTTTTTTTTTTCAAGTTCTTATTGTGAATTACGTGATAGTTTACATGGGAGAACATTATCTTTACATTCATCCTATCATATTTTGTTTCACTGCAGTAATTACAATCCCCTGCATGCCTCATAAACCGACCAAAGGATACACCCCGCATGCCTGCCCCCAGCCACCAGCACACAGGCCCGTTCCCTCCCTGAGTCTAGAGTCCCCAGCCACTCATTCTCTCTACATCATCATTTCTGCCTCCATCCCTGGTGTCACTGCTTCTCTGGATAGGTCCCAGACTTCACTTTTCTCCCTTGATGATTCAAGGGATCTCCGTTCCTGGACTGCAAAATCAACCACTCCACTCTTATTATTACAAAACATCTACCTTTACCTTTCCAACTCACAGTCAGTCCTGATAGCAATCATTCCCTATTGAACAACAAGAGTCTTATCCCCATCAGCTTTTATCAGCCCCATTCAGACAGGTTGAAAACAACTTAGTGGAGATTCTACCTTTCCCTGTACCTTCTGGAACTAGGTTCCCTATTGAAAGCTTGCTAAGCCAGTCACTTCTTGCCTTTGTAGGCCCCCCATTTTGGGTAGCTAATGTCTAAGTTCCCCATCCTTGTCAACCCTGTGTACCAAGGGGGTGGGAATGATCCTTTTGTTAGCTCCTTTGCCATACTGCATCCACAAGCATAGGTCAAGTTCATCTAATTGTAGTGGATTACTCTTTTTTTCCTCTTCTTTCTTCCACTAGTCGTGTTCTGATTATCCAGCCATTGAAGCCAGGTCAAATGGGTACTATGTGCAAGTGTGGGTGTTCTTGTGCATCTCCCCTCACTTCATATCAGCTGGATGCTTCACACTTTGCTCTAGTCCTCTGGGACCATGTCCCTGCCCCTGGGCCCAGGAGTTACCAAGTCTCGTCAAACTGATGGCCAACTAGGTCTCAATCCAGATTAACAGGAGTCTATTGAATGTGGTCGTTGGAGAAGGATGTCATGCTGGGTAGGGTGGAGGGTCAGAGAAAAAGAGGAAGACCTCCAATGAGATGGATCGGCCAGGTGGCATCATTGATGGACTCGGGGGTGGCAGCGGTGGTGAGGTTGGCCCAGTATCGAGCATTGTTTCGTTCTGCTGTGCATGGGGTCGCTGTGAGTCGGTTCCGACTCGATGGCACCTGACAACAACAACAACAACATTGAATGTGGTCGGATTTAGCTCACAACTTCACTGCCGTTTTTCCCCCACATCCCCTTACCAGTGACCAATGTGGTCAGCAGCAAGATCGCATGCCTGTTCCTGTATTCACCTTGAGTTTCAGTCTTAGATTGGGTTTGCCTTGAGGGGATCTGACCACTTGACTTGATGGTTCCCTGGGGAACAACTTGCTTGGTTTTGTAGTAGTCAATCTGACTTCTGTTATTGCTATTGATTTTCCTGCTGGTCTTTCTTTCAAAGAAGTATTTTCTGTTCTTAAACTGCTCCAGGCTGGTCTGCTTATCCTTTCAAGCGGAAATTTCCCGCCTCTAAAGATTCTGGATGGGGATCAGGATTCCACTTATGGTCTTATGCAATCCAAAGGCTAAGCAGGAAGCCTCATTCACTGGGCAAGTTCTAGCCCAATTTTAGGTATTCCAATAATTACAAGCTTTCTATGGTGATGTTTCTGACTATTCCTTTCTCTCCCGTTCAAGTGTCTATTTTACAATAGTTGGTAAGGGAAATCAAGATTCAAAAGGCAGCCAAGCATCTTAAAATCATTTCCTCACTTTACCCATTCAAACCATGCCTCAATCCTTGTATCCCCAAGCCCTGTTGTTCCACAGTTGTGCTTACATCACTATTTACCACTGGACTATTTAGCCCATATAAATCTACCTAACTGTTCTCCCATCTGCCTTGTTCTTCCTTTCCCCTTCCCCTGGGTGTATGCGCCCCTACCCAGCACCCAAACTACCTTGTGTCTATTCCCTACACTATGCCCCACTGTCCTGTGTCTATTCCATACCCTGTGCTCCACCTTCCTTTCTCTCCCCTACTCCACCCCATACATGCTGGTAACCAATAAATCCCCCCCACTTTTAGCATAAGTACTTTTTCTTAATTTTTTTTTTTTTTTTACAGTAATGGCCCTATGCAGTATTTCTCCTTTTGTGACTAATTTCACTCAGCATAATGTCCTCAACATTCATCAATGTTATGCGGTGGTTGCAGTTTCCTAGTTATTCATCAAGGCAGCATATTAATGGAATATTAATTCCATTGTGTATATGTACCATAGTATGTTAATCCATTCTTTCATAGAAGGGCACTTAGGTTGTCTTCACTTTTTGCTATTGTAAACAGTGCTGCTATGTACATGGGTGTGCATATAGCTACTCATGTTACGGTTTGTATTTCTTGTGGATAAATACCAACTAGAGGAATTGCTGGATCATAAGGTATCTCTATTTCCAACCTTCTGAGGAAGTGCCATATTTTTTATCCAGAATGGTTGCACCATTTTGCAATCCCACCTGCAATGTAGGACGGTCCCAGTCTCTCCACATCCTTGCCAGCATTTATTGTCCTCTACTTTTTTTATCTTTGCTATTATCGGTGGTGTGAGATGCTAGCTCATTGTTGTTTTGACTTGCATCTTTCTAATGGAGTCCTGGTGTGGCACTGTGAGTTAATCCATCAGACTGCAAAGACATTTGAACTGCAAGGACGGTGGTTCAAGCTCACCAGCTACTCCTCGGAAACCCTATACAAGATCACTATGGATCGGAACCGACTCGATGGCGCTTAACAACAACAACGGCTAGTGATCATGAACATTTCTTAATGTGTTTATTGGCTACCCAAATCTCCTCCTAGTGAAGTGTCTATTCATGTCTTGTGCCCATTTTTAATTGGGTTTTTTGTTCTTTTCTTGTAGAGGTGTTGTAGGTTCCTATATATTTTTGAAATTAGTCCCTTCTCTGATGTGTCGTTGCAAAAGTTTTTTTCCCATTCTTTGGGTTCCCTTTTTATTCTTTTGATGAAGTCTTTTGATGCACACACATTTTTAATTTTTAATATGTCCCAATCATTTCTTTTCTCTACTTTTGTTTGTGTAAGTTTCAAAATGTTTGGTAGTCTGTGTATTCCCTGTATTAGAGCCCTCACATTTGTCCCTATTTTTTCATTGATGGCTTTTGTAATTCTGGGATTCACATTTAGTTCTTTAATCCATGCTGAGCTGGTTTTTGCATAAAAAGGGAGGTAAAGGTCATGTTTCAGTCTTTTGCATATCGCTTTCCAGTTCTGCCAGCACCATCTGTTGAAGAGACTATCTCCTCCCCATGCAATATACCTAGGCACTTTGTCGAAAATCAGTTGGCTGTATGAGGATGAGTTAATTTCTGGATTCTCAATTCTGTTCCATTGATTAATATATCTTTCATTATACCTGTACCAAGCTCTTTTGACCACTGTAGTTGTGTAGTAAATTTTGAAATCAGGGAATAAGAGGTTCCCAACCTTGTTCTTCTTCTTAAGTAATGCTTGCTTATCCTGGGTCTCTTTCCTTTCCATATACAGTTTGTAACTATTTTCCATCTCTTTGAAGAATGTCATTGGACTCTATATTGGGATTGCATTATGTGTAAATTGCTTTGGACAGTATTGAGATTTTCACAATGTTAAGTCTTCTTCTCCTGGAGCATGGGATAATCTTCCATTCTTGTAAGTCTTTTTTGGTTTCCAGTAGTAGTGTTTTGTATTTTTCTTTTTATAGGTCCGTTGTTTTTTTGATTACATTTATTCCTAGATATTTCATCTTGTGGGTGGCTATTGTAAATGGTATTGCTTTCTTAATGTCGTTTTCAGTGCTGTCATTATTGCTGTAAAGTAATCCACCTGATTTTTGTGTGTTGACCTTATATCCAGCCACTTTGCTGAATCCTCAAGTGATGTCTAGTAGTTTTACTGAGTCTTTGGGGTTTTCTATATATAGGATCATATCATCAGCAAATGGATTTTACTTCATCTTTGCCAATTAGATGCCTTTAATTTCCCTATTTTGCCATATAGATAATGCTAAACCTTCCAGCACAATATTGAATAGGAGTGGTGACAAAGGGCATCCTTGTCTGGTTCCTGTTCACAGAGGGAAGGCTTTCAGTTTCTCTCCATTGAGAGTAATGTCGGTTGTTGGTTTTATATATATGCTCTTATGTTGAGGAATTTCCCTTCAATTCCTACTTTGTTGAGTGTTTTTATCATGAATGGATGTTGGATTTTGTCAAATGCCTTTTCTGCATCAGTTGATATGATCATGTGGTGTTTTTGGTTTTTTT